CTGTTAATATGTATCCTTGTATAGCACCTCAACACTTCTTATCTACACAAGTTCTTTTCAAAAGTTCCCCAGAGTCAGGTTTTTTCATACATTGTGATTCTTCCAATACATCTTTCTAACATGTTTGAAGTCTTAAATTTAACTATTAATTATAAAACACACACATATTAGTTTTCTTTATTTTGTTTACTAATACAATTGTTTTAATAGCAATCTGACACTTGTATATTTTTTACTGTAAACAGCTGATAAACTACAATGCTTATAACACAAGATATTAAATTGTTGATGATTATAATAAAACAAACAAGAGTTCCCCAAGTTTTCCAGCTTTGTTGGGGGAGAGAATGGTTCCTTAAGAGCAGCCAGACAGACAGCATTCATGTGCAGCTCCATTTGCATGAGCAGTGGGCACATGTGCACACTGTTAAGGCAAATGTAGCATATACATCCCCACTCAGCCACTGGTCGTGTAAGTGGGGATGCACAAACACAAATGCTTGCACCACTTCTGCAGGCCAGTTTGGAACAACTCATAGACTAGCAGTGGACCACAGACTGGGGGTTGGGGACCCCGCAAATAAACTACTTTTTGGCTATGACTTTCGTCTTCTTAGCTGTTCCTTGTTATTTAATTCAGGCCTCATAACAATTATATAACATTTAGGGGAAAAGATGCAGAGCAGTAAACCAGCAGTGGAGGCCAAGATGGAAAAAATCTCCACGGCCACCATGTATTTGCCCTTTGTGCTTAAATAAGTTGGAACAAAAGACACCCAGACACTGCAGAAGCCCAACATGCTGAAGGTGATAAACTTGGCTTCATTGAAACTGTCAGGCAGATTCCTGGCCAAGAAGGCCACTGTGAAGCTGATGGTAGCCAGAAAGCCCAGAAAGCCCAAGGCAATGTAAAACATGGTGATAGAGCCTTCATTGCATTCCAGGATAATTTCTTCCATCAGGGAGTGCATGTCAACATTTGGAAAGGGAGGACTAGTTACCAACCACACAGTGTAAATCAAAGCTTGAATAAAAGAGCAGGAGAGGACAATGGTGCTGGCCATTTGCTTTCCAGAGCATTTCCTCATCCCACCTCCTGGTGTGGTTGCCATGAAGGCAAGGACCACAATGATGGTCTTGGCGAAAACTGAAGAAATGGCTATTGAGAAAATGATGCCAAAGGTTGTTTGTCGAAGGAGACACATAAGCTTTGTGGGCTGTCCAATAAATAGCAAAGTGCAAAGGAAACAAAACAAAAGAGAAATGAGAAGAATGTAGCTGAGGTTCCGGTTGTTGGCTTTGACAATGGGAGTCTCACGGTACTTAACGAAAAGGTGAAGCACAAAAGCTGTGAGGAAAGAAAATGAAAAAGCGCAAACCATGAGGGTAATTCCCAAAGGTTCTTCAAATGAGAGGAAGCTAATGCCTTTCAGAAGGCACAGATTCTGTTCCACATTGGGATACTGACCTTCTGGACATTGAAAGCAGTCTTCCATGTCTGTGAAAGAAAGATGCTTTAGGAAACACAATCTTTGAGTGCAATCTCTTAAACTGAGTTAAATCCTGAAATGGGAGAGGAAGTGCCAGATAAATAGGAGTTACTCTACAGTTTGGATGACACCATTTAAGGGAACCTGGCTTCACTATAGCAACCATGTGCTTCGTTCAACCTTCTTCTCTCCCAATAATAACAGTAAACAATATTTTATTTTTAATTGCATTTCTTTCCTTTGCTATGTAGGAGAATATGGAAAACAGAATATTTTCATAATTTAATCAATAAATAAACATTCCCACAAATGGTTTATTTGTATTGTTCTATTTTTATCTATTAGTTGCTGTCCTTCACATTGGATGGTTAGAAAACAAATAGATGCTTATATTAAATGCCTTATATACAAAGCTGAATCTAAAGAACCTACATTCTTCCATCACATGACATCCATCTGACTGGACAGGCCATACACTCTTAGAATTGTTGGAAGCTAGAATTTAAAATATTTATGTGGTTTCCATTATTTACAAATAAATCTATTTACTGTCTTTCTCTCTGTCTATTTGTCTGTCTCTCTCTCTCTCTCTCTCTCTCTCTCTCTCTCTCTCTATCTATCTATCTATCTATCATCACTCTCTCTATCTTTCTATCTCTCATTTCATAATTAGAATTTTAAAGAAAAAATTCTACATTTGGTTTTCAGTGAAATGTTGATGTATGTTGTTGTTTGGTAATTGAACTGAATTTTTTTCGAGACAAGGGATATCGAAGAGGAAATTTTATCAATACAGTTGATAAGGTTTAGAATTGTTTTCTTAAATACATGTTAATTATATAAATATGCTAGAGGTGTATATGTACTGTACCTGAATAATTGCATATAGGAACGCTTACCATTTTGGTTTGAAATCTTCCCTTCAGGACATGAATGGCAATCATAGCAGCAAAATGGTTTCCCCTCAATCTTATTTTTACTATAACCAGAATGGCAATTGCCATTACACAGAGAAATGGGGCGAACCTGTGTGGAAATGGAAGAGCTGATCATATGTTACTATTCAGAAAAATCAATTTGTAATTTTGGGAGTCTAACCTGTTTTTGTTTTGTTTTTTTGCTCAGAGGCAGTATTTTCACCTGGTGACTGCATGGACAAATCTGTGCACTTCTCTTTGTAAAATTTCAGAAGTAGTCTGCCATTGCCTCCTTTTCAGGGTTGAGAGAGAGGGACTAGCCAAACTCACCCAACTGGGTTTGTGCCTAATTTGGAACTACAGTATAACTCACAGTCTACTGATTTCAAGTCAGGTACCTTAACTAATATATCAAAATGGGTCTCTTCAGTCATATTTTACATTGATGACACCTTGGCATAAGTTGTAAGTGCAGCTGCAATAATTACAATAATATTGTAAAAAAGTACCCCTTCACTTGTACAGAATTTTTTTTCTCATTCCTTTTATGTTTTCAAGTTTCAGAAGATAGTTGAAGAAATCCTGCGTTGAATATCACCTGGTTAAAATTGTTGGGCCATATAATGGTATCTTCAGAGATGGTGAATACTTTTCCAGGGGAACCCATTGTTCCAACTTTTATTCTCTGGAAGAAGTGAACTTTTATTCACTTTTTTCAGTGCCATTGTAACTTTGAATGGTCATTCCACACAAGCAAAGAACCAGCAAAGGAGGGGGAAAAAACTCCAGAGAGGTTCCGGAGACAGGAAGTCTAGTCCTGCCAAGAATGTAATAAGGGTTAATGGAGAGGCAGTTTCTGTAAGCAACACCATAATGTTTCCTTCCTGCCTTCCTTACAGGATTAGGCCAGTAATTTCTTCTAACAACCGGTTCTCCGAACTGCTTAGAATGTTAACAACCAGTTATAGCAAATAGGTGTGAACTGGTAGAATCCCACCCCTGCTTATATTCCAGAGAAAGAGGATGTGGGGGGAAAAGGCCCAACATTTATTATTAATCTACTTTTCATTTAA